GCAGCAGCAGGTCTCTACCTTGCAGATTAGGGCACTGGGAGCACTTTGCAGGGTGTTGTCACAGGTATGACGAGGGAGAACTGCGCTTACTATCCCCAGGTTACACAAGGTGTGAACAAAATATGCAGCCAATTTGTTTTGTGCAGAATTAGAAGGGGAAAAAACACAACAGGAATATGCTTTGGGCTTCCTGTTTACTATGTGTGCTTCAGGGTTTTATTTCTGTTTTATCTGTGCTTTAACTTTGTCTGACTTGATTAAAACAAATGTTCTCAGAGGTATATCTGAATACGTATGTTCTGGTTCAAATGGTTATTTTAACTGGACCGCAAGTGACATCAAATCAACAGCTAAACACCAGACACAGCATCAAGAAGAAACCCATCCAATCCAACCAGCTCAATCAAATCACAAGGACAAAGAGAGAGTGTGAGCGTTGGCAAAGGAATTACTGATCTTGGGGGAATTGGCAAGACCAACAGCAAGCAAGTGTATTACATATGGCGTGCCATTTTCACAGCTTCCACAAAGAGAACACAAAAAGTGTTATATCTCACTATCTAAGACTAATAAACAACCACCCAGATCTGCTGAATCTGTTTAATACTGTAACAAAGACTTGAGGTATATGGAGCTTGTGGAAGACTTTTCAGTTCATATCTGAGCCTTGAGCACAGCGAGATGATGAGCCGCGTAGTCTGAGTAGAGCAAAGACAGTAAATGAAGCCGTCCTCCCACTAATTCTATGAGGTGTCAGTCAGGAAACTGGCCTGCCAGGATGACTTTCAGCTCTAATCAAGCCAGATGGTTTCTTAACACTGAATAAATGAATTGATTTGTATGTAGCATCTCTAACAAGGTTCATATTCTTCTACACATGACACAAAAGTGGTCAGCGTGAACATAAGAGAGCTGTGATCTGCTAACTTCGAGGAGGTATATTTGCAAATCTCTTCGAACATGAATGTGACTAACATCTTTGCAGTGTTTGTGCAGTGTTAAGTTGACAAAGTGTTAGGACAAGGCCTCTGTTGTCATAATTGTACACAGCTCACACCTCAAGTGTTATTTTCTGGTCCTAACCCACTACACTTTATTACTATCATTAGATGGATCACTGCACTTTCCCTATGGTGTGAACTGCTATCAATTATGCAGCCATCTTTCAATTATTGCATATTGTTAAAGTACCTGCTAATGAATTGTGAAACTACCGTGTTATCGTGTGATTGTACTGGGCAAAAACCAGCTACTGTACACTTAGGCGCCTTTTTCAATTAGATGTGGGTGATGTTTTTTTCAGTCATTAAGCACATTTGGTGTAAGAATGTCCACCTTACACTTAGCCAAAGGTGTTTCTGCAGTTGTTGTTAGCCAGCAGCATCTCAGGCCCAATGCAAAGCCACTGCTGCATGTAAGAGGACTCCGAGGACAACACAGTAGTACCCACTGTGATTTTCACGGGGGATTTTGATATTCACACCTGCACTAGGTGTTGTTTGGGAGTCTGATAAGCATGTGTGAAACCAGAGGGTTGACTAGAATGAGGGGGACAGATCTTTTCAGATATATATCGAGGACAGTGCCGTTGTTTTTTATTTTCATGTATAACAATAAGAGGAGACAAAGCTAATCAAGCACGGTGTATCTTAGCTACCAGCCATGTGTCTAATTGAAGCTGCACATGGCCATATGGGCATGTGCGAAAAATAGAATGTCCAATAACTACATAAGGATTCAAGCAGCACGTGGAAAAATAAAATAATTCCAACATCATTGCCAGTCTCACAGCCCATGAAGCAAGGTTTTATCTCTAACAATTCATACAAAATTCTACTATGAAAGAACATTTACCCAGCAGTGTATAAGGCAAAATAATTTTCAGTGTATGAAGAAATCACAGGATCAGAGGCTGGAAAACAAAGTGCATGAGAGTTGCTCCTCCTCTCTCTACATTGGTGATGTTCAGAGGCAGCCTGTTATTGGAGGTGTTAATTGGCAAATTCAGTACAAGTCAAGAGCATGTTCCCTGTCGTCCTCGCCCAGCAAGGCTAGGTCATTAAACCGAGAATGGATTCTTTCATGCTGCCTTAACCCTTGAATTGCAAGTTACCATTCCGCAAACATCCCCATGCTCTATCCCACCCCCATGTGTCAAGGAGAAAAAACAACCTACGCTGATTTAACAGCGACAATAAAATAACAAGAGGATGACATCTTGAGAGTCAGACTTTCAGCCGTACAATTATTTCAAATTGGCAGTCAAATGTCTTCAAAAAGTTCAGAAGTTTACAAATGTCTAACACTCCAACCCTTCACAAGTAAACATATAAAAGTAGCCTTTACTAGTGGAGGCTGAGCAATGTGATTTTTAAGAACAATGGCTATCATCAAACTCCTCCGATCAGGGCTTTTGTGTTCTGTGTATTGAACGAGCCCCTCATCCCGCCTGAAATGTGAGCCTCCTTTGGGGTTCTGGGTGCGATCTCACCACTGCCTCTGTCATCACTTGCTGTGACTGCCAAATCTCTGCTCCAGAAATCAGGGCTCTCAGACCAGCACCGAAGCAAACACAATGGAGAGGGGCTGTTCTGAGACTTTACACAGGCAGCGATGGCTTCAACACATTTAATCGAACACAAAGTCAGCTCCACCACTTCTGCACAGAGAGCACGAGGAGCCCAACGCATGGCAAGACAACTGTGAGGTGATACTCTCAGCTCGCAACGCCATGAGAGTTGGCAGTCTCTCATGCCAACGGTGACCAGTGCACAGACAGTTGAATATGCTTCTCTCCTAAGTTGTTAATTATCGAAATGACATTGATGTGAAGAGGGCATTCTAGCCAGGTGACCTTAATCCACTTGCTATCTCTCTGTTTTGTTTCGATTTGATTAAACCCTTTAACAACCCCCCCATCCCCCTCAATTGTGTTATATCTTCTTGGCAATGGCATGATCTGATAAACATTGTTTAAATATTTAGAAGAGTAATTGTTGAAAATAATGACTTAGTGTAATGGCGCCTCGTCTGTCTATTGCCTACTACAATCAGAATCCAATTACTGGCCAGTAAAGGAAAAGGTATGTTTGCTTCATTTAATCTAGATATTTAAAATATTAGAGTTGTTATATATTATATTATTTATAATTATTGTCAGGAACCAGACATACACAGATGGGATGTCTGTGAATATAAGAACTATATTATATTATATCCAGTATAAAAAAATAGGTCAATAGATGTAAAGAGCAAAACAAAAAGAAAAAATAAGTCCGGTAAATATAACCGTTCTATTAACAAAAACATTCATAATTAAACAACAAATACGTGACCAAATTAAATTGAATTAGATTTACACTTTTAACTGAAGAGTTTCAGTTAGAAATTGAAAATAAGCCTTCACTGTTTTGCAAACCTCAAAATATATATTTTACAACGGTGTTTATTAATCATTGTGGATATTAACAAACTTTTATCAGAAGCATTAGAGAACAATAATAGTTTGGTAGTAACAACAGGTTCCAATGTTTGATCTGAATGAGTGTAGATTTAAAATGTGCAAAAACAAATGCACAGCTGTATTCTCTGTCTTTACACCCTATTGTTGTGTAGCAGCCCTGCTTCCAGCCATATGACAGAATTTAATTTACTCCGAATACAGCTGACTATAACTACAGTAGCAAAGCAGGTAGGCTATATACAATTTTTATTTTTTATTTTTTTTATTTGAAATTTAAATTACTTATTTTTCTCTTTTTCCTGTACATATATATATTATGATTTTATTGTTTATTTTTCTTTGTTTTTTCTCCCTCATTGTTCATTTTAATTATTTTAACTTCTTTTTGTTTTTACATTTATTAAGTGTCTTGGACATTCGGGTATATGCCATTTATATTACATTACTACAGTCTAAAATCTCAAAACTTAGATTGATTTCTATTTTCTTTATTTAACCTTTAAATGACACTACATGTATATTCAGTCTTACACCATTATTCCACTCAATCCACTTATTAACACTCCAGTAGATTCAACTCATCTCTGCAGAGGATAACCTATAAGCTCAAATAAGCAGCTGTAGAGAGCCAACAGCCGTACTGTACATCAGTTTCCTTGAAAATGACTGTGGTCCCCTGAAGCCAGTGACTTCCCTGTCTCCCCGAACTCAGCACCGACTGGCGGTGCAGAAGCACTGCTGATTAGCATGCAGTAATGATGGTGAGCTGGGCTCCATTGTTCTAACACCTCCCCTCTCCTCCGCACCAATCTGTCACCATTCAGTAGGCTAGAGCTGCCTCAAATGCTTCTCTCCACAAATGAGATGGATAATTAGTTGCCCCTCACGAATGCTGCACTCTTCTCACCCCTGATTGCTTTCACCTTCTTGCTCCTGGCAATTTTGACACCTTGTAATCAGCCTGCTACTTCTCCATCTCAATCCATATCCTTTTCCTTTTTTTGTCCTCTTTCATTTTTGTGTAGCTCTTAAATCTATTTCAAATCTACTGCCTCTGGTAGCAAGTGTCCCGAGGAGATAGAAGGCACACATATCTCATATTCTACTGGAAATGGTGGTTAAAAAAAATGCCTTAGAGTGAAAGTGGAGTTTTCGCAAATGGTTTACATTACTGTATACGCAAGTGAGTAAATATACAGTGTACGGAAATACACCAACAAAAAAAAAAATCCTAGCTGTCAGTATGAGTTTCCTCTTCCAAATAACAATGAATGACAACATAATTATGAGCAAGCAGCTGTTCATGATCCCAGAGAGAAAAGCATGCAGGCTGCACAATGTTCGACTCTTCACAGATTAACCAGAGAGGATCATTAGGGATATGTATTTGCCAAAAAAATCCGAATAAATTCTCCCCTTCAGTGTCTACGACGTGATGTGAAATGTAAAATGATGTGGTTTTTGTCACTCCAAAATAAACACACATAATGTTTGGCACATTACATTCAATCAATATGTATTATTCACCTTTGTAAAAACACCAAATGACAAGTATGATCACTCCTTTCCTTCACGTAGATGATGTGTTGTGTCTATCTTAGTCTAATGACTCACTAGTTGGGAATAGTTGATAGCATTACTACATCACATTTATTACACCCTTCTGAGCTATTTATGAAACACAGTGAAATGCCAAGCGCCAACTATCAGTTCAGGTTGAGATAACAAACCAATCAGTCTATTAAGCAGTATTTGATCATGAAAAGTGAGTTATGATGCCGACCACTTGTAAAGAGAGAAAAAAAGCTTGTTTGCAGTCTTCACACCAGCTCATCTACCCAGCAAAAGTGTTACCAGCCCATAGCTGAAGAGCTGTAAGGTTCTTTCTGCACAACGAAGTGTTCCAACACACACAGTGTCCCTGTTTCCTCAAACATCATCACACTGAAGGGTGAAAATCATTGCAATTGTTTGCAAAGGTGTGAATAAATACTGCAGAAGTCAAAAGCTGATGCTGCTGTTTACAAAAGACAAAATACGCAGCGTACATATTGTAAAAGATGTCCTTTCACACAGTGGACAGTTGCTGCCTGAAATGTCATCAGTTCTATTTCCAAATTGCGATTACCTGTGTCAAGGTACAGTCTCTTTAACATTTTGTTTTAATTATTAATATATAGATATATATATATACATATATATAATATATATAATATTTAATTATTATATGCCGATAATGTTATGTGAAACTGGAACACCTAGAATGTCTCATTTTATCACTTTGCATAGCATTACTGGAGTAAAAGCATGTTCATTTGTCCATTAAAATACATGTTAATACAATAAATACAGTATAATATTGCCTAAAGTAAAATAATTACTGTAAAAATAGCAAGGTAATTGGGCATCTAATTGAACAATGAACGTGTTCCTAATGGTATGTGTTGCCATCTGCGGAGATAATTTTAATGAACACCTGGCATACTAACTTTTAAAATGATTTCAAAGTTAAACACAAACACATGAAAAGGAGGCATGGGTGTTTTATAGAAAGCAAATCACCATTTGCCTAAGAATGAATGTCTTTCTAAAAGAAAACTGTTGCATGTTATTAATGCAAATTGTTGCAGATAAAAATGTATAAACATGTTACAGAAAGAAAGTCAATACACATCTTGTCCAACGTATGTCTTTAAACATGTGCTACACTTAAGAGTATCTCAGCCTGTTTCATATGGAGGTTGAAAACGATTCAAATAAAAAAAATGTTGCAAGAGTAAATGTCGGCTTTATTTGCTCATATATACCATATTATGCATTATCGTCACTTAGTAAGTAAAGTCTCAGCGAGATATTAGAAAAATATAATGGGAAAGAAAGTGTACCATTCAATTCTTCAGTATTAAATAAATGGATTCAAGTCTTATTGCAGTGTAATTTCAAATCCAGTACAGCGCATATACTTCATGGCAGGCAGGACTAGACCATGAATACAGTAAGTCTTGGAGTAGTTGTGGCCTTGGCCCATCAGTCTCTGCTTCCAATGTCAATTGTCGGCTTCACTCTTAGAAGAACAATGCGAGTAGAGGTGGCTTTTCATTCGGTCCTTAGGAACCTCAGCGTAGCAGAAAGCACATTTATCAGGACTGCTGCTCTGAGTCGTCGCCAGCTCTGTCCCCACGTCAACTGCATCACACAGCTCAGGGCTCCAGAGAGACTGCAGAGCAGGATGAACCAAAGAAAACAATATATTATTCATGCTCTAAACAATCCTTACACTCACTCTATCAAAGCATGCCGGACCACTTGGCCTTCAAGTTGAAATATCTGTTGCTTTAAGGAATACAAGAACATGTCCTCTGTCAACCCAAGGCTATGCCCAAGTGTTTAATTATCTTCCTATGTATGTGTTCATCCAAACTATCAAAGCAGTCTTGCCTATTATTAATGCCTATGTTGACGTAATCCAGGGAGAGAATCATATTGTGAAAAAAGGGACCAACTTTTAGATCTTACTGCATGTCATTCACAATTTTTTATTAGGAATTTATACACATCAGCAAATAAAATCCCACTTAACCCTCATACTTGTTTCATCAGATTCAGACACTGTAATGTGCTTCCATCTGGCTCACACTTTCCAGCAAAAGATGCCAAATATAACCAGAGCATCCATGCTTAAGTAAAAAAAGAATCAGCACACATTACACAGTAATACGTTTCAAGTTAAGCCAAGGGGATTTTTTTTTGGACTTCACACCGTTTCACTCCTCCATTAGCAAAGACCAATCAGAAACTGATAATTTGCTACTAGTTTTCTCAGACCTTCTCCTGTGATTCTCACCTGCTGGGGTCCCCGCACGCTCTCCTGGGAGAGTGAAGATGATGTTGAGTGGGAGGGGGATGTAGGGTAGACAAAAGGCATGGGCAATTCCACGGGCTCCTCCTCTGGCAATGTGGAGGGGACACTACTGAGAGGCCGCTTCGTGGGCATGGTCAGACCAATGTGTCTCTCTGGAGCACTGTTCAGGAAGTCATATTCGCTGTCCGCAGGGGGTGGGAATTTGACACTGAGTTTGGTGAGAGAGTCTACTAAGTCCCTGTCCTCAGGGCTGGCGCCGCGGGACGCCAGAGACGTGGGCGGAAGTGGGATATCCACTGCTGACCTTAGCGCTGAGGAAAAGGGTCTCTCTGCCTCTTCTGTACGGTCTGTGCACTGGATGGGCATGGAGAACCGCTGATCTGTCAGACGGCAAAAAAAACATGAGATTTTACACCGTTTTTCAAACTCGGTCAACATGTTGAGTATTCCAACGCTGGCTTTAAAGACATTTGAGCTTGGCAACAATTTGAGAAGTTTCACACATTAAAATATAATCTGGGTCCTTTCAATACGTACATAAGAGAAAAATATTTTTATCACACTTTATATTAATTATTTTACGAATAATTACGTTATATTATTAATTACACAGCTCATATCCAGAACCAACATCGTGCACTTGTCAGTGGAATTGTCAAATGTGTTTATGCACGCTATTTTCACAGAGGTGGCCAGCCGCGGTTCAAAAGGGCAATGAGGCATTCAAGTACAGCCCTTATTAAGGTGTTGCATTATAATTATTTTAAAGAACAAAGCAAAACCTAGTAATTTCATAACTTGTTATGACATATACAAACCTATTTCAATTCAACACATTTTCCTTTAAGTAATTGAATTAAGAAAAAACAAGTGAATTTAGGTTCAGGCAGGTAATATTTGCTGAATATTAATATTACCGTTTGATGCATCATTTCCTCCATGGAATCTTTTTAGGTGATCTTTTTGCCTTCTGGTTAGAGAACGGATCTGCCGGAATTTCCCTTGAATTGCTTCAAACGCGTCCAGCATATCCTGACTGACAAACCAATAAATGAAGAGTGAGGAAATAAAATCCATTCTTTCACTGTAATGTCCATGATTGTTTGTTTGTTTTTTACGTCTAGAGACACAAGGAGAGACACATACTAGTCAACGCTGCTGTTGACTGGCATATTAGGAGCAACAGCAACAGTGCCCATATTCTCCTGAAAAAAGACACATTACATTTATAGTGATCATTAGCAAGAATTATCAACAGGCATATACAATCTGCAGTTTTATTTACACAAATCACAAATCTATATTTATTAATGAAAAACATTTCCTGGCCTGTTAAATAATGAACAGTGAAGCTCAAGCTGCTGAACTGTGCTATTATCCTCTAGCACCATCTGGTGAAGTAAAAGTGGATACACCTTGTGTGAAAATAGAGGGTGGATACTATTACTGCAGCATTGCAATCATAGGTTTCCTCAATTGTTTGAATCTTTCGAAAAACAAATGAATGGAAGCACGATAAAATGATTAAAACATACGGACATTGCCTTCTGATCGGAGAGAATTACTGAATAAGGACAGAATTTCTCTAAACTATCCTGCAACCTGCTTTAAAGCTGTATAAACAAGGGTTGGAAACACTGAAAAAGTGCTTTGTAGGCTTGTGCTGTGCAGCCAGGTACTGAGGTTAAAGACTTAAAGGATGATGCTGTGACCTTACAGTCACAAACATAACGCTCAGAAGTTGAATCACATATGGATTAACCATATTTTGAGCCTCGTAGTTACAGCTACATTCATTTCCCATTTATGTTCCTTTAACATCCTTTTTGGCACAAGTGCAACGACATCGAGCAGAAGTACTATCAGCATGTTTCTTTGGGAGAGGAAGCTGTATGTATGCTCATGCGTAATATCAAGTGCGAGAATGAAGAATAAACAGAGCCATCATATTGCAGTTTTTACATAGCGTAAACATAGAAAGAGCACACTGTAATGCCGCACACATACCGGATACTGTATTTTCCTATAAGCGCTGGCCCCATCAAGGAGATGGTTGCAGGGCTCACATTTCATCTCTCCTTAGGAGCCAAAAGAGTGAAAATTAACAGTTTGTCAGGAGGCAATGCTAGATGAAACAGATTCAGTATGACCTATGGAAATCCATTACAATTTTCACAATGCAATGCAAAGGGTAAATTATCTTGTCGGCATATAAGCAGAGAGATCAACTGGCACGTCTCACTGACCTGATGGTTGCCTTGTTGCTGATAACTTAGCTTCAAGTTTTGAAATGAGCTGCTGCTGGTCCTCTATCTGCTTTTGAAGTTTTTGAGTGTATCGCTCATAATATTCAGTCTGTAAAAATGAAGTTTCGGTTATGTTATTAGTACCAATATCTACAATCTGGTCTATGCCCATATGTCTGGGAGTGTGTCACATTTTCATACACATGTATAACTAATAATCATGTTTTAAAAATAGGTTTCTTGCTATTTGACTGTTACCAAAGTGCTGCTATACTGATAATATTTGGCTCTTTTCACACTAAGTTCTTCTCCTAATTTCATTACCATTTGCTGGAGCTCCTTTTTAGCATTGTCCTTTTCAATGGAGACCTGGCGATAAGCTTCGAAAGCTTTGTTGAGCTGGTCTCCGATGTTCCTTTCCATGCCGTGTGCTCCACAATCATCACTGACACAGCAGACATGAGCCCTATGAGTGAAATCATAAAATCTTTTGAAGCATACCAACAATTCACTCCAGAAGAAAAACTCCCCCAAAGAAAAAAAGCAAGGAGTTAGTGGCCTTGTTTTTTTGCCTGTTTTATAATCTTGCTACACCCAAACTTGTCTTCGCATTAAAAGTGATAAAAAGAAGTAAATCGCTCCTTAAAGTGGTTATTTGGTTGTTTAATGTGAGCTGCTGATGCAACGCATAACTGAGTAAACATACTTCCTAACCTGTACTTATTACTACAGCATACTGACAGTTGGAATATCAGCTTACGACCAAAAGCAAGAACTGCATTCACATTTCCACAATCGACACCTTGTTGTAGTCCTGTAAGAAGTGCTGTAGATGTAGATGAGCAGCTGAGCTACATCGAAAAGTAATGACACAAAATGAAGTTGCTCAATGCATTTTGCAGTTTCTTGCACAACTTGTGTAAGGCCACTCACTTAAACAATCCTTACATTTGTTTCCCCTTTGACTTTCAATACTACTACTTTCACTAACTTTTCGAGGCAACTGCAGCAGCACATTTACAGTTTATTTATATATATAGGCTATATATATATATAT